TGGCTCTATAGGTTTTTCAAACGTAATCCTAATTTGTCTATGCGCAAGGCGCAACAAATCAACCCAGCCCGTGCCCAAAAATTAACTAGCTAACGTTTTTAATTAAATGAGTTCGCACCAAAATCCACAGAACGTTTTCAATATGGACGAAATAACTATTCATCATCAATAGCTTTTTATGGGCAAAAAGGTACCAAACATGTTCACATAGTAGCATTTGAGCACGCAGAAAATATGACCATTGTAATGTAATGCGTTGGGAAATAGTATAGCGATTAAAGCCTGAATAGGAAGAAAACCTACCACCAGGTGGCCTAGTTAAAATGGTCGAAAAGGGTACCATGCCGAATGATCTTTTTAGTCACCTGGACATTTCCATAACCGAAGATGCAGACGAGTTGAATATAAGGCTGTTCTGGTTGTCATCTAACAACACGCATGAACTGCAGCTTTTAGATAAAGCGGTTTATAGGTCTATAGGTTTTTTATAGGTTTATAGGTCCTTTGAACTGGGACCAACGAGTTATGGGAGGCACATCCAGATCGTCGTTTGAACAAATCTCGTTTTGGCAAAATTCTGTCTAAAGTTTGGTCCAGATGCATGCCCCCAGAGAACATCTTCAGCCTTTTGTCCCATCACTAGCAACAACGTTAATGCTAATAATATTAACAATAATTGTAACGATAGTATTATTGACATGCAATTATTGATATGCAATCCAGCGATAATTCAGACGGCTCTGAAGATGACATTCCACTTAGTATATTAAAAAAATATCCAAGGAAAAGTCTCTAATAAAATCCAAAACGATGAAAAGTATAAAACACCTGTCAAGACTGATAATACGATCTCAGATAAGACTCAGACAGAATAAGAAAGTGAAGATCTTTTAAGAAACTTTTTCCTACACCGGAACTGTACAAATTGAAAGAAAATAGGAGTTTAAAAAGAAAATCCCTGAATTACAAGTCAGAGCTGGTAACCAAAGACCTGTTTTTTTAGGTTCTAAATCCAGATCTACAATATCGAAAAACAATTAAAAACAATTCGTAAAATCATCATCATCAAGGGTATCGTTAAGAAAGCTCGCGGAAAATCATGTCCAAGAAAACGCGTCTTGGTATTGCTTTGTGGGTAACAAATCAGAACAATTAGATATGCGAAGCTGTGTGTATTGTGGAACTTGGTGCCACGAAGTATATATTGAGTTTTTTTTCGTTCAAAGAGTTTAGTTTGCGTTATTGTTAGAAAAATGCTTTTATTTTGTTTTTTTATTTAGTTTGAATAAATATGTTTTATGCAAACTTAGCATTTTGTACATGTACATTACCTATTTTAGCTTTCTTTTAGCCCTTATAACCGACCCCAATTTTTTTTGTGGGCTTCAGTTATCGAATGGTCGGATGAGAAAGCCCAATGACAGTTTTTTTTTAAGTGTTTGCGAAATAAAGCAATTTCTTATTGACTGGGCCATATTTGCCGCAGGTACCTTATTGTAGACAACGAAAGCAATTGTAGAATTCACAAAAATTATTAACATTAACATTGTTACAAGAATATTGGAAGGCTTGGATGACGAGTGCAAAGTGCAAATTTGCGCTTCAAGAAGAAAGCTCAAAGTACGTGTTTTAAGATCGTTTCGTAGAACGAACAATGTCTTTCGCGAGAAGTTGCGTGTACTCCGCCAGAATTTGCCGAAGCAGCAAAATAAGTTGCTCTTAACTTATTGCCACAGAAGTGGGGAAGCAAGTATGAGAAGCAGCATGACCGTTTAAGGAAATAAAAAAAAAAGTATTGACTTTATTTCTCAAAAACACATAAAATTAAAAATCTTTAATTTTGATGAAGTAAAGACTTTTTTAACAGAAGCTCATTATATAACACATTTTCTGCAAAAAGTGATGTTAATTTTGGGTATCGCCGGAGCGTGTAGGAGGGACGAAATTGTCGAAATAATAGTGGCCGACACTGAGGATTAAGAGTCAATCAATCTTTATTGTAAAAATATCTGATTCCAAGACGTACAATAGCAGCACATTCATTGTGGCAGATAACGCAATACCCAATCAAGTAGTAGAAATTACCTTTATCGCCAAGTACCATCAATTGCGCATTGCTTGAGGTGAACCGCTGCCAGTCTTTTAATGAATTAATTAAAAAATATGGATGGAAGTATATTAAACTAGTGGAAAGCTACATATGTAGATGAATTTCTTACTGACAAAATTTTCTAAGCAGGAAAGTAGGAATGATTTTTTAAAATTCGTGGTTTTAAAGAATGTTGCCCCTAACTTATTGATTTTTAGGATTTTAGAGATTCATGCATATTAAAAATTTATTTCAGAACAGCATGTCAAATCACTGAAATAGCAGCTCTAAAGAAAAACAACGAAATGAGGGCTTATGTGAGGCATTCACTCAATATACTGGGAAACCTCAATAATTAACCTACCGGACGAGTCAACCGTACGTAAATTTGATGATGTGAGTTTTGGGGGAAACCAATGAATCCATTGATTATAGTACATCCCAACAATTGGAAAACAAGATTTTAGTTTGTAACCAGATTTCTCCAAGAAACCATTTTGTGCCCAACAGTGCTGTGACGAAAAAACTTATACTCCTTTTATCCAATGTATTTCATGTTACTTGTTTGGATCATGGCTCAATAAGGTGGCAGAATATATAAGAGACCAGCTTCTCTTGGTAAATAATTTTACTTTTCAAATAAAAAAACTATTCTATTCTATTCTAAAAAACTATTTCTAAAGGATCATTGTCGAACTTGCAATTGTCAAAATCTTAAAAAGTATTTCGGCAGTTTTTATGGGCAATTTCATTATTTTGATTCCATAACTAAAATATTGTCCGATATCTTCTGTAGATGCTGGGCGAAGTTTTACTATTTTTAAACATATTTTTGATCTATGTTATATATGGGAAATTTTGAAGACATTACATTTAGTTATCAATTGCTTTTAAAACTGCAAAGAATAGTAGGTCAATTTGGATTTTTATGTTTTACAATTTCCTATGTAGGTATCAGTGCGTGTGTATCTATGAATAAAAACACATTGTTACTATTTTCTTGTTTCATTTATTTTTATTCAAATATGTCTGTGATAGATAGATAAAAAATTAAAGGATTTGTAAAGAACGGGTTTATTAATTAAGAATTAGCTCTGACTTTATTTAAAATAACTTTAATAATTTTTTTTTCATTGCAATGCATATATTCTGGAAATTGTTGTTTTTCGCTTGTACAGACCATCTTTATTTCTTTAGACTCCCATAACTATAGAACATCTGATTTTTTATGAGGTTACAAATGAGGTTGGACTGTAAATAGTTGTTTTTAAATAAAAATATTTATTATAATTTATGTATCTTAAGTTGTCCACCCTGTTCATTCACCCCTGTCATTGCAAATTTACCTTTTATCACTCTATTGCATTAAGAGAATATATATAGAAAAGTATAGCATGCAACATGTTGAAAACATTGTCGGTAACTCGGCAATTAATCACTCGCCCCGCCCGTGCTAAACCAAACTCGTGAATAAAGTAGTTTCTCATATTTCTTGTGTTGATTCCCTGTGGTATAATCAGTGTTGTACACAATGTCAACGTTTGAAACATTGAAAGGTAGATATTATCTAGCTTCTTCAAGAACTAAAGCTAGTTCAAATTATATTACAGTTATTTTACGTAGATTTTTTGCAACACAGACGTAGAATTTTTATTCAATGGTTTAGAACACATCTCCGAATACATCTGTTAAAAAATAACTTTTAGGACAGACATGAACAACTCAAACCTCAGATTTAAGAGAGTCGTTGTTGGTCTAGTATCTTCGAAACATCCTTCAATTACGATCTGACTAAACTGTATAATGAGTTGCCCTATTGCCTTCTGAATATCACAATAAATTCTTTCCCAAACATTCCCAAAGTCTGCTTGATTTCAAGGATGCGAAGGAAAAAAAAGAGAAAATTAAACATAGAGTATAATAATAATAATAATAATTCCATTGACTTTTAACAAAAGTATCGGATAATGTCAACAAGTAAAAAAAATACGTTAGAACTCTAGAATACACACTTTAAAAACAGATACGTACAAACCCACAAATTATATGTTACACCTCTTCTATGAAATCAATATACGTAGTCCCCCTTCTAGTCGCTAGGTGGCACCACAGCTTTAAAGCAGAGCCAAAAAACTGTGGAATAACTTACCATGGACGGTATATTCGCCATCTATGGTCTTAACCTCATTCCTCTTTTTGTGCTTTGGTGGCACATGTTCATTTTTATTCGGCGTCGGTGTTTTCAGCTTTTTTCAGCGTTTTTGGAAGTTAAATGGAGAAGTACAAGTGAGATTTACGTTATTGCTTATCGGATGAAGAAAGAACCTACCTACGACGAAAGATTAAATCTTTCCATCCGCGATTACATAATCGCTAGTGGCGTGGTTCCCATCAACGAGATTTTCTTACAATTGGGAGAAGATTTCTTCATCGTCCGGGTTCCGATCGGAATCCCCAGAACTCGAAAGACCCCCCAACTTTCCCACTTATACGACAGCAGTCGTATGTAAGTGTTTCACAATTGGAAGCAATCCTTTTGTGAGGGGGTCGGCCATACATATGGTTTTATATTTTTTCGACATCGAAAAAATAGAGTTTTCTGGCTCGTCCGGCTATGGATGAGGCGCCCGGGATACTGGGACATAATGAACAATTTTTTATGGCTGTTGGAATGCATTTACTCCATCGTAAGTATATTTTTTAGGCCCTTCAATTAATTCTGATGTCATTGTTGAGCCCCTTGAGACGGATTTAAAGCAAAATGGCCTTTAAGCTATGGGGTCGATAGTCCCAACACAAAGTTTGATGTGTCATGACATTTTGGCAAGTCAGATTAATACCTTTTTTGAAATCCGGTGTGTCCGAAGATTGTCTCAGTGACCTTTTGAGTTGATATCCTGTGCCGAAGAATTGCCCGCTCAATAACTCTCCTAAATTGAATGTGCAGATGAAATCTGCCATCAACAAAGGTGGAAAGAAAAGGGATGAGAGACTGACTGCAACAAGGGGTGCTTTGATGGTGTTTGGTAGGGCGCTCTTGACCTTGCTTTTGAAACCGGTTAAGGATGAGTAGTACTTACTTCTCATCAAAATGTTGAGTAATGCAATATTTGTTTTAAGCAAAATACACCATTTAGGTTCAGTATATAGAAGTTCAGCCGCGTTAAGCCTTTCGCTGGTCTCAAATGAAATGCAGCCTTGTATGAAGGAAGTGCTCGTTGATGCTTCTTTGCACTCTTGTTTATGTGGAGAAGATTTGGCTGATAGGCTCAAATCAATCAGATTAGCTGCAGATTAGTGGCCGAGTTAAAGTCAGGTGCATCCGGAACAAGGCTTTTATAGCATACAAATTTAAACTCGACCGTCCCACTTCGTTCCGGGAAGTTGCAAGGCTGAAGTGGGTGAAAGTCATTGTACCCTCAAAAGAGGGAATACAGGAAGGTTCGAGAGGAAAGGGGGTGGAGTTGTGTCCCCAGGAAAAAATAGTAAGTACTTTTGTTGAAAGATTGCACGAGTTTCGGGACATTTGGAACTCTAGAACTCAAGATGCACAGATTCTACCTTGGTTAGATGGATATAAAATTCCATTTGCGGGGCCAGTTATACAGGACTTCATTACGACAGATCCTGTTTGGTCCCAACAAGAAAAAGATTCAATTTGTAATGTGGTCAAACACCTGTTAGAGATAGGTGCAATTGCAGTTTGCGAACCTTGTAAGAATCAATTTATTTTACAGATCTTTTTGGTTTCAAAATTGGATGGTTCGGTTTGATTAGTTTTAAATTTAAAGAAACTGAATGCTTTTATTGACACTTGTCATTTTAAACTGGAAGACAGAAAATTAGTAGAAACACTCTTCACAAGGAAGTCCTTTATGACCATTCTGGACTTGAAAGAAGCTTACTTTCTAGTCCCAATAATTGAAAATCAAAAGAATTTTTTAAGATTTTATTTTGATGCTCTCTGTTATCAGTTTAATGTGTTACCCTTTGGTTTATGCACCGCCCCGTGGGCCTTTACAGAATTAATGAAATTTGTGGTTTCTTATCTCCCTGCCAAGGCTTTTCCCTCAATAGTTTATTTAGATAACTTTACTATTTGGTGATAGTTAGCTATCCTTAAAAAATGTTCAAGTAACTTGCAACACACTGATTAGGTTGGGTTATGTTATCAATTATAAGAATGTTTTACATCCTTCGAAATCCCGTAAATTTTTAGGTTTTGTTTTTTTGGATCCCACCACTTGTTTTTCTGATGAGTAAGTAAGTTTTGCAATTTGAACCGTTGCAAAATAAGAGTCTTTGCCGAGCTTTGTGCTGTGCTAGTTTTCAGTTTGCCCAGCAGTTTATTACAGTTGGGTATATACTAAGAATTTTTGAGAGAATCAAATATCTAGCCCTTCAAGACTCTGTTGATAATTATGTTATTTGGATGATAATTCCTTGTAATTTACGGAGGGATTTTATGTGGTGGCTAAAAAGTTTACAGAATCCTGAATGCCCTGTAAGGCAGCAATGTTACAAACTTGAGATTTTCTCAGATGGTACTCCTTTGGGTTGGGGAATTGTGCCAGAGGACTTTGGAGTCCTAGGGAAGCTCAGTTTCATATTAATGCACTAGAATTAACTGCGGCCTCATTTGGTCTCTAATGCTTCGCCTCGTATTTGACTAACTGCGAGACACTTTTGAGGATTGATAACACAACTGCTATTTTGTATGTAAATAGAATAGGGTGAGTAAAATTTCCTGTTTTAAACGAAATTTCGAGGCGCCTTGGGGTTGGTGTGAAGAAAGGAGGTTATGGGTTAAAGCATCTTACATTCGATCTTCCGATAATTTTGAAGCGCATAAGGAACCCACGAATTTGAATTTTGATGGTGAATGGTACCTTTCGGACAATGCTTTTGCTAAAATAACAATCAAATTTGGATTCCCATAAATCGAACTGTTTGCTTCTCGCCTAAGTAAGAAATGCGGAAAGTTTATTTCCTAATTTCCAGATCCGGAGGCATCTAATGAAGACGCGTTTACTGTTTTTTGGAGCGACAGTTTCTTCTATGTTTTCCTCCCGTTTTGCTTGTTGCCACTTGTTTTACGAAAAATCAAGGCTGATTGAGCTACAGGGATCGCAGTAATCCCTTACGGGCACAGCCAGCATTGGTTTCCTTTTTTTTTTTTTTCATGGGAGGCGTTGTAGTTATTTATTGTTTCTAATTCCAGACAAATTACCTTCTTCTTTTGACAGGAGAGGTCACCCTTTGTGGAAATCCCTTACCCTGGCTGCAGGGATTTTGTCAGGCAAGCATTCCAGAAGATTTGCTGGATATTTTTCTATCATCTGTTCAGAGGGCTACCTTGAGGCATTTAATACCTGCATGCATTTAAACTTTGGTGGAGCTTCTACGAAAGGAGGGGAGTGGAGTGTTATTACTTCTCACCTAGGCTGTATTAGATTTCCTTACTATTCATTTTAGACAAGGCAAGTCCTATGGCTCATTGAGTTCTTTCAGTGCAGCACAGCCTTATTTTTGGATCAGATTTATTTAACAATGCAAATCTAACTAGGTTTTTTAAGGTGTTTATAATCTAAGGCCAAGTAAACCAAGATATAACAGCACTTGGGGCCCTAGTTATGTCCCTGACTTTGTAAAAGGGTTACGTTCTAATGACTTGTCATTAAAGCAATTAACTGTCATTAAAACAATTAAATTAGTTTTTCCTACTGAAGTTAACGATGGTACATAGAGTCCAAACGCTCTCTCTTATAGAATTGGTCAACATAAAATCATTTCCAGATGGATTAGAAATTAGAATAACGAATCAAATTAAGATTTCAGCTATAAATAAGACTCGACCTGTTTTTTAATTTTGCATAAATATGAAGATGTAAATCTTTGTGTGGTTTCAAATATATTATTGAGAGGGCCAGTGCTTTAAGAGGCAGTGAATCTCGTTTACTCATTACATTTAAAAAGCCTTGTAGGGCAGCAACTATACCCAACAAAAGTAGATGAATAAAGATAACTTTAGAAGATAGTGTTGTCTACACTTTTATTTTTACTGTTCACAGAACTCGACATGCCTCAACATCGTCTGCGTTTTGTAAAGGTGTTTCAATTGATATGATTGGAAAAACGGCAGATTGGTGAGAATGCTCTAAATGTTTTCCCCTTTTTTATAATGTATTTGTACAGCAAGTGCAGTCCTTTTTGTTAATGCCACATTTGGGACATAGAATTTTTCAGAAGGTTTGTTTTCTCGGATAGCCATTTATTTTGTATTTGTACTCGAGGCTTTCATAAACTTCCTGGATTTCCTTATATAGCCGAATAAAATCGTTTTATAACAAATTTGCTGAGTTGCCTTTGAAAGTCTACGTATATTGATGTCATAGAAGAGGTGTAACATATAATTCAATGATCAAACGAACTTACCTGGTAAGTGAAGTTCGATCGTAATTATATGTTACACCTCTTCGTAGAAATCACCCATTCCCGCCCAATTTACTGTTCTGAACAGTACTAAAATGCCCTTTGGCAAATTTATTATAAACGGGCTTTAAAATAGAATGAGGTTAAGACCATAGATGGCGAATATACCGTCCATGGTAAGTTATTCCACAGTTTTTTGGCTCTGCTTTAAAGCTGTGGTGCCACCTAGCGACTAGAAGGGGGACTACGTATATTGATTTCTACGAAGAGGTGTAACATATAATTACGATCGAACTTCACTTACCAGGTAAGTTCGTTTGATCATTGAAGTATATCACACTGAGAGATCGGCATTACTACAATCTAAGTATTCATCGGTAGAATAAAAACATTCCTATTCAAAATGAGCTTTAATTTTTGCTTATAGCATATTATGCAACAAGTGCGGTAAACGGCATTTGACTCACGAGTCTATTTGATACGAGCGGAGCGAGTATTTAATAAACGAGTGAGTTGTAAAGTTTACCGAACGTGTTGGATACTATACTTTTTCTACGACCGTTAGTTTTTGCGTACATTTTCGCAAAACACGAATACATTCGGCGACATGACTGCCAGAATTGACAAACGTCAAAATTCAAAGCGTGGGAAATACCTCCGAAAACATCGGATTGCTCCCAAACCCGTGCGGTAAAATCCCGCAAATGTCCGGAATGGCTAGAATTCGTGGGAAACGAAACTGACACTTATTATATAGTTTTATTGGTAATATCACCATGGTGTGAAAAATACCTGAATAAAGTCTGTTGTTATTATCATTAAATATTAATTAAATTAAAAAACAGATCCAGGAACTTAAAATTAAATCTTAGCTATTCCTTAGTTGTTTGCCAGCAAACTGCTCAGCTGCCTTTTTGATCACATATTATGGTGTCGCTTTTTCAGGAATGTTAATTATGGGAACCAAATCACGACATGTCTGCTTAGTGTTAGAAGTTTTAAGTGTGATGTCTAATTCCCCTGTAAGGAATTTTTCTCCTTTTTTGTTAGTCTCTGCTCTCCCTTCCCGAATAAAAAAAGAAGCATCCGTCAAACCAAAAGCTGTTGCTGCCCATACTGTTTTTTTTTGTATAGGTCCATAATGATAAAATCATATAATAGACGACCCACAAAAGGCATGTGAAAATATCGATGTTCACCTAATACGCGGGCACAGGTAGGCACCGAATCTTTTGACCTACGTTTTTTATAGGGTCAGATGCTTCGGTCGAAATACCTGTCGTATCGGAAACCAAATATACGTCGAGATGAAAACGTATATCTGGGAACAATTAAAAACATGGTCATTAATAAGTAATGATCTGTAGGTGGTCGCCACAGCATAACTATTTGTGTATTGTGGAGTTTAATGTGATGCATTGCCTAATACGGAAAAGATTTTTTTACGAAAAAGTAACCTCAGGCAAGGAATATGAGTTATCTCAGAATTATTTTCGTTTCTTTTTTGCCTGCCATTTAATTATAATATTAACTTCCTGTTTTGAGGGGATAATATAAATTTCCCTCATTTTTTAAAAGTAAGTCGATCTAATGCTTCTTAAGCCACATTATCGTTCTCTTTGTTATTTGTCGTTCTGTTTACTAGTTGATTGTGGCAAAACTAAAAGCAAAAATGATTTTTTATTCTTCAATTTCCTTCAAAACTGGTAAGGACACTATTTTTCTAACATCCATCCCTAAAAGTATGTTTTTTTCATATGGAGACTAGGGCGACAATAACTTTATGCACACTGTTCATAGATTTATAACTTAGCAACATAACAAAATATTTTATTAACAAATAAAATATGTTATTCCATGTTTAAAAATACTTGCTGGTTGACTAGACCGGTTATTCCAATATGTTCCGTGTATACCAATTGTCCTGTCCATAACAATATGTACAGGCCATCCAAATTTTTTTGTCATTTTTTTCAGAGAAAAATGAGTACAACAAGCTAAAACACAAAGAAAATCCAAAAAAATATTTAAGGAAAAAGATTCAAAACGACATAAGCTTTATAGAGTTCTGCAAAAGCAGAAAATTAAAATGATTTTATATGACCAGCAATTTTATATCTGTTACATTGTACTATGTTTCACATGAACCTATTTTGAACATCTGCAATTGCTCTGGTTTGTAATTTGGTAAATTGAACAAAAGTGTAGACCAAAATTCTAATTGGGGAGCGGCTATGCTGTTATACAATAAGATTCTGGTGTAAGTTGAAAAATTTTTCGCTATTCTACATATAAAATTTATATTTTTAGAAAATTATGTAATCGGCATATGTAAGGGACATCAAATCTGAGTCAAATATAACATCCAAATTTTTAATTTCGTTTTCAAGAATTTAATTTTTTGTTGTTAATGTAAATTTAATTTATTTGATTTACGTGGTTTATCAAAAATACAAAATTTTGCCTCGTCTCTGTTTATACGAAGGTTATTATTGCACAATACGGTACTTATATCAGCGAAGAATAGACCAAAAACTGGAAGAATTCAGCCTCGACGACCTAGGGACAACATACGAGCACATAAAAAACATGCATCAAAGAAGCAGCTACTGAAGCTCTCGGAGAGAAGGAAGAATCACAAAACCAACATAAAATAGACATTAATAAAGACCTAAGGGAAATCATAAATGAAAAGAAGGAACTTTATATGAAGTGGTTAAATACAAAAACAGATGAAGATAGAGAGATATACCGAGAGAAAAATCGAGAAGTCAAAAGGATTGTACAGAAAGAAAAGAACAACAAATGGGAAGCGGCCTGCAAAAATGTGGAACAATATATAGGAGGAACGCGTAATTCAGAATCCTGGCGTCTAATTAAATCTCTTAGAACCAATAGGAAAGAAAAAGTACATCTAGAATACATACCAGATACTATGTGGGAAATATACTACAAAAAACTGCTAACAGAGGATAGACCTACTTTTATTGGAGAAAACTCGGAGACAACATCAGACGAACAAAAGGATATAGATCTTAGCTTAGAAGAAAAATATGAAGAATAATAAAGCTGCCGGCCCAGGAGGCATTGTTCCTGAACTAATAAAATACGGATCAGAAAAACTATACCGAATGATACACCAAATGTTTCTAAGAGCAATAAATGGAGAACAACTACCAAAAGAGTGGACAACTGCATATATGACATCGATATTCAAAAAAGGCGACCGTAAAAATTGCGAAAATTACAGAGGAATTAGCGTAATGTCATCTATGGGAAGACTATATGGAAAACTCGTAAAGGCAAAACTAGAAATAGAAATAAAAGGTAAAATTGGAGAAGAACAAACAGGTTTTACGCCGGGTCGATCTTGTATAGACCACATATATACATTACAACAAGTGATAGAGAAGAAAATGGCTAAAAATAGAGCGGTTCACTTAGCCTATATAGACCTAAAAAAAGCATACGACACCATACCCAGGGGGATACTATGGAAGGCAATGAAGACCATCGGATTGCCACAAAAATTAATAGAGACCGTTAAAAATATGTTTGAAGGAAACCAAATATCTATAAAAATCGAAGATAGACTCTCAAAAAGCTTTAAAACAACAAAAGGACCACTACAAGGATGCTCCACATCACCAACATTGTTTAAAATATTTCTAGAGGAGATCTTAAAACCATGGAAGAAAAAATGTGAACAAATGGGAATTCCATTCAGAGGCGACTGTCTTTACACGTTAAATTTCGCGGACGACCAAGTTGTACTCGCACAAGACGAAGAAGACCTAAGTTACATGTTACGAAAACTGAAGGAAGAATATGAAAAAAATGGAATGGAAATAAATTTTTCGAAAACGGAATACCTGGCAACAACAGAAGATGGAGAAAACTACCTACAAGTCGATGAAAATCATCAAATAAAGAGAACCAAAAATTTCAAATACTTAGGTTTCATAATATCTCAAAAATGGACAACAGAGGAAGAAATGAACAGTAGACTAGGAGAGACGCGAAACTGTATCAGACAACTAAATCCAATACTCTGGGATAGACACATCACTCGACACACCAAATCACATATATTTAACACCATAGTACAGAGCGTAATGACATACGGCGCGGAAAACTGGGTGGTCAACAAAAAATACAAAAGTAAAATACAGGCCACTGAAATGGAATACTGGAGGAGAAGTTGTAGAATTTCGAGAATAGATAAAGTAAGAAACGAGGAGATCAGGCAGCGAATGGGTGTCAAGAAAGATACCTTAATATTGATTGAAGAAAAGAGATTGGTATGGTATGGGCATGTAAGAAGAACGGACAGAAATAGGTGGATACACAAGATAACAGAATGAAGCCCCATAGGTAGAAGGAAAAGGGGTAGACCCAGAAGATCTTGGAGGGATGAAGTAGATGAATCTATGGAAAAAAGAGGTATCGGAGATGAATGGCAAGACAGAGATGGATAGAGGCGTAGGTTGAGAGAAGGGAGACAGCGACAGCTGTAAAAAACCCTATATATGTATGTATGTATATTATTGCACAGCCATTGAAAAGCATTCTTCAGATCTGCATTTATTTTTTTGGCATTTCATCCTCATTGTCTAAAATATTTAAAGGTCCCCAAACTGTACCCTGAGAAACATCAGTTTCCATAGTTATGCAAGCAAATATACCAGTCCTTATGCTGCTCTCTTCATACCCATATAATAAAACTTTCTTAACAGTCTAGTTCTACTTATTGTTTTAAAAACCTGTCTTTCTAATTTAGTCCGCTTACAATCCGATTTCTATCTTTTTTGTATGCACGCCATCCTTTTGTTCAAATACTGCTCTTTTATACAATCTCTTTGGTACATTATTTTTTGAATCACACGGGTTATGAACTTTATGTTTTGGATTTATGTTGAACATATAATTTTACTTTCGCACACATTT